GACTCAAACCCTACCTTGCAGGCCCCGCCCACTCCCGCAGGCCCCGCCCATCCCTGCATGTCCCGTGCTGCCCGGCCACCCGTTGGCCGGCTCCGTGCAGTCCCCAGCGGTCACTCGGGCTGGACGTCCCCACCGTCCCGTAGCACCGTGGAGCCCAGCCATGGCGCGTGCCACGGGGCCAGAGAGGCGGCTGCTGGCCATCTACACCGGCGGCACCATCGGCATGCGGAGCGAGGGCGGTGGTGAGTTGGAGACCCCAGGTCCCGGGCAGAGTGGCCTCGGAGCTGGACTGCTGGGATCCCGGAGCCCCTCTCCTGGGGGCGGGACCCCTGTCGTGGGGAGAGCTGGCCGGGAGTTAGTGGGAACTGTCTGAAGCCCTGGTCTTGGCAGGACTGAGGGGCCTCCTCGGGCCTCAACCTTCCCCCTCTCTGCCAGGACCCCTGAAGCCTCAGGGCACTTGTAGGGAAAGAGCCCTGAGGGCCTTGGGGCCCTGAGGAGGATGCTGGGATGCTCCTCCCTTGGGGTGTGCGCCCTTCCCTAGGGCAGGGCAGGGTCTCTTCAGCCTCAGGCAGAGGCCCTTGTCTGATTCCTCCCTCAGAGAGCTGCTCCTGCCTTAGAGCTGGTGTTTTTTCTCCTTCCCTGCCAGGTGCTCCCGCAGCTGAGCGGGCCTTCACCTTGTTCCTGCCCTTGCCCTCAGAGTCTAGGCAGCTGTTAAAGGTTCCATGCCCCCCCACACACACACCTGGGCCCTGCCCCCGCTCTCCTCCAGAGCCTTTCTTTTTGCCAGTCTCCCCCTCCCGCCCGTCCTCTTTGGCCTCGGTCCTTGGCCTCTGTCCCTTGCGGCCACCCTCCTGACCACCTCTTTCCCTGGCAGCAGTGGCTGTGTGTGTCTACAGATTTCACTGCATTACCCACAATCAATTCACAAACACCTCTGGGGGCCACTGTGTCATGTCCCAGGACCCAGGCCCAAGTTGGGCCTGTCCTTGTGGGGCTTATGAACCAGGGGCTAGACTGGTCCAGGCTGCTGGAATCCTGGTCCAGGCTGCTGGAATCCTGGCCTCTGCTGCATCCTGCTGCCTCTGGTTACAACTCAACAAGTTGGCAAATGTTACCAGCAGGAGGTGGTGTGGCCAGAGGGCTCCAGGGTACTGTGGGCCCTTAATGGTCTGGACCCAGTGTGTGCTGTTGTGTTGTATAAGAGCTGTTTCAAGAGTCCTCCTCTGAAGAAGGCTCATGGGGAGAGTGGCTGCTGGACCAAGCAGGAAGTGTGGCCAGACCAGGAGCAGCGATGTGAGCGGAGGGAGAGAGAGAAGCCCAGCATGTGGCAAAGAGGCTGCAGAGCCACCTAGAGCAGGAACTGGGTCGTGCAAGAGGCCCTGCCCCTCCTCTTCACACTGCCCTGTCCCCCCTCTTGACACTGCCCTGTCCCCTCTCCTGATACTGCCCCTCCAGGCTTGACACATGAGCAGTTTTAGTTCGGTTGAGCTCAAGACACAGTTCTGGAATGATCTAAGCTGACAGGAACATCATACCTCACGCCCCTGGATGTATCGCTGGGTGCTCATCCGTGTACTAATGTGAAAGACTTTAATGCCTGAAAGCCAGGTCTGTAGGGTGCAGATTTTCAGGCAGGTAAAGGTCTTCTAAGACCTCTAGGAATCATGCTGTGGGGTATGTTAGCCTTCTGGAGAGGTGAAGTTTGGTAGGTACAAGCCTTGCTTAGAAGCCTCTTCTTCAGGGTGGCCAAAATCCCACCAGAGCGGCTCAGAGCTGCCCAAGGTCTTCAGAGTCTCAGTGGAGGCACAGGTAGCTCCCAAGACAGCATCTGTCTCTGCTCCCCAGCCCAGCCACTTCCAGAAAAGCCAGCTTCAGGCCTTCATGGGACCCCATAGTCTGTAGCTACTGACTCTTATCCTGAAATGACTTTAGAGAGTCTTAGGCTTAGCCCTCAGGGGACAAGGGAGAACTGGACAAGAGGCCTGGCCTCTGCTGACCCCCAGGAGGGATCTGCACACACAAGCAGCCAGCTCTGGGACTCTCAGTCTTCTGCCTGCCTCAGGTGTGGCTGAAGCCACCTGTTCCTCAGACATACAGATGTGACTTGGCACCTTGGCTTTCTGCATGAAAATGTGTATAAAGAGAAAAGGTTCCCAGAATAGGGGGTAGAAGCCATAGGCCAAACAAGTTGGGGATGAACCTGAGCCTAGAGGCTGGGGCTCAGGCATTCCCTGGCCCTCTGTGTGCTCTGCCCTCTGTGGCCCTCTGTGAACCAGCGGCTGCAGGCCATGCCTGCCCTGGAGTTACAGACCCACAGGCATGAATGATTAACCAGCTTGGCCCTGCTTATATGGGCCCTGGCCCCCAGTAAGTGGGAGTGGTGGCTTCAGTGACAGCAAAACTGTTTAGATTGTCGCTGTTGTAACAGCTCCTGTGCCTACTGGTAAACAATGGCCTGTGGGGCAGAAGACACTGTGTGACAAGGCTTGCCAAGGTAGGAGAGGGCAGAGGTGATGTGGCCTTCACTACCCCATCTATGAAGATGTCACAAATTAAAGAACATTAATGTGTCCAGTGACCCCCAAGCCTGGGCCCAGGCATGCCTCAGTGGCTACTTGGGTACCCAAAGGCTTCAGTGTCTGCTGGAGCACCTCTTGCCTACCGCCTTTGGGGCCTGCTCATTGCTGGCACAATAGGGAGCTGAGCTTCTGGGAAAACTGGCCACGGCTGTCCCTGCCCATGGCATCCTGCCCCGACCCCAGATGGCCCTAGCAACAGAACCTCGTCAGTTGGGGTGATGTCCTTGTCATTTTGGTGGCTGCAGTGGTTTACAGGGGTGGGGTGGGGGGTGTCGTCCCAGGTAGGGTGGGGTTCAGCATCCCAGGGCTGTATGCTTTCGGCGGCCCTCTGGGAGCAAAGAAGGCAACTTAGAAAATCAGAACTGAGAGTGAAAGCTGGTATTAGAATGATAAAAAGAAATTAAATTCCAGTTGAAAAGAACATCATGGCACCCAGACGAATGGCATTGTTGGGCAGCTCCCAGGCTGTTTTGGCCAGACAGGCTTCTAGGATCATGTACTACAAAGTTTGCAGTTTCTCCCCCAAGAGAAAATCACTGAGGGAGAGTTTGGGTTTCTCTTTGGCTGGTTTTGTTGGTACTTACCAGCACCCCCACTCCACCCAATCAGGTGGGGCTCCCAGGGTCCATACCCCCTCTGGCAAGCCCACTGTCACTACACTGCAGTGTGCTGTGTGTCCCCAGGAGCCACTGTCCATGGTCAGAGACAAACGTCAGGCTATAGACAGAGGAGCCTCACCTGACACAAGCATGGTTCATAAACCCTAAACCAAGCGCACCCCCATTCCATCTCTCATAAGTGAACCTCAAAGTTCTATAAATGCTCCAACACCACCTACTGTCAGGGTGCTGGAGGGATGACTGGCGGTCCTAGTGTCCTGCGGCTACCAACCAATCAGTGCTGAAAGCCCAGGATTCATTCCCTCATCCTGAAGGCAAAGTTTAAAGTCCCAAGGCCTCGACAGATGAGACGCCTTCTTGCCTTCTCCACCTTCTGGTGCCTGCCAGGTTGTGGCCACGTCCCTCCTGTCTGCAGGGCAGCACCACCAGTCTGTCCGCCTGTCAGAGGGGATTCTCTGAGTGTCTCACCCTCCCACACCCTGCTGCGCGTGTCTTCCTACAAGGATGCATAGGTGGTGATGGTCTTTAGGGAAAACCAGCGTCATCTCTGCATCCCAAGATCTTTGACACAAGTAAGACCTGCGAAGATTTTGCCACAAAAGGCAACAGTCACAGGTTCCTGGATTAGGAAGTGGACTCTTCCAAGGTTCCTTCCCTGCCTGCTGGTTGGCCTGGGTGGCTACTGAATGTGGGGACAGGATGGCATCCTGGCCATACCTAGAACATTTCTGGAGGTCCTGTGGAGCTCACAAACACACAGGGTTCCAGTATCCAGGCCACATTTCTGTAAGTCTCAACCCTAGAAGCAGCTAATTGCTTCCCTATGCTCAAGAAGTTTCAGGGACTTTGTGCCAGGCTTGGGGGGGCACGTGGCCTGTGAAGCTACGGGGGCACCTGATGAGCCAGGAGCATGACAGAGCAATGGGGGACAGTCCTACCAGCTCTGAAGCCTGCAGGACTACCGGAGAGGTGTGGAGGGCCACCTGATCTGTGGTTGACGTAGTCCCAGGATCCAGGTTTAGTCCAGCAGTGTGAAGGACCCACAGGCAGCAGCCAGAGCTGTAGGCTAGATAGGTAAGGGAGGTGGGGTGTGATACTGCCAAGGGGGATGGAGGATGGCAGGGGATCTGGGGCTGGCTGGGGTGCTACAGTGGGCTGTATCCTTATACACATCCCAGGAAACATGGTATACCTAGGTATACACCTGGGAGAGGCCCTGTGGCCACGTGGTAGGATGGATGTTTTCTTGGCACAACAGGCTAAAGCAAGCATTAAAACTGGCCTGAGCCTGGTACCTCTCAGAGGCCAGCAGGTCTGCAAGTTACTTAAGGGGATGCCGCCAGGCCAACTCCTCTCCTGGGTGGTCCCTGGTACCAGCAGCACTTCCTGGGGTAAATCACTGGTGGCCAAAAGTCAGTGTGGGCCAGGTGTGGTGGCACACGCCTTTAATCCCAGCACTTGGGAGGCAGAGGCAGGTAGATCTCTGTGAGTTCAAGGCCAGCCTGGTCTGCATAGTGAGTTCCAGGACAGCTGGGGCTACAGGGAGACCCTGTCTCAAAAAGACCAAAAAAAAAAAAAAAAAAAAAAAAGTCAGTGTGGTGTGATCGTTTCCCTGCTGACCCCAGGCTAGCTGTTCTCTGCTCTAGGGACCAGAGTTGGGGGCTCCTCCCTGTGCCCCCAATCACACCCTGTGTAGCAGGCAGAACCTTGGTCCCTAGGGGTGTCCACGTCCCCACACCAGCATGGGGCCTTATCGTGAAGAGACTCTGAAGATGTAAACAGAGAGTGGGGGGGGCTGGCTTTGACTATGGAACGCGGGGCCACAGCTAGAAATGAGCCCATGGACAAAGGCTCTTTGTCTATAGCATATGGATCTGAATCCCACAGCCTGAGTCAGGTCTTGGCCACAGAACCTACCCAGTGCTGTTGAAGACGTCAAGGATCTTGTAGTTAGTAATATAGCAATAAGGTTGTGGCTGTGACCTGGTGGCACCCAGGACTGACCACCCCTGCCTCCTCCCGAGGTATCATGAGCTCAGTCATGTGCTTCTCTGGGGGACTCTGTTTTTGCTGCTGAACCCCAGTGCCCATATGTACGGGGAGGGTCACACAGGGCAGTAGAGTAAATGTGCCCAGAGAGGTTAGCTAATCTACCCAGTCACAGAGCTAGCAGGAAGTAACTTAGAGCAAGAGCAGGACTTCACTGCACTCTCTGGGAGCCTCTGCCAAACAGTTGTAACCTTTAGGGTGTCCTAGGTATGGGGTGCATAGTGTTCCCTTAGGTCCACGTTTCTGAGATTATGATGTTGCAGGCAGGGGCCAGCTGGGTTGTAGACTGCCTTCCTTGGGCACTTGTATGCTAGGCAACTGGACCTTGGAGGAGTTACCCACAAGTCCGCACCTTCTGGGAGTTCTTGAGCTGTCCAGGGAGCTTATGGGAAGGACACTATGACCTAGGCATCTGGGGTATCCTGAGCTGGGCTTCACTCACTGGGTGAGAAGTGGGCATTGGGTGGGCCTTTCAGGCATATGGGGGTAGAACTGTGGGTGATTATGGCGGCCATTGAGACAAAGCCTGGAGGGGTATGGCCCTCTTGATGGGCATTTGATATAAGCAGATGGCTGTTGGAGCCTCTGAAGCTATCTGGGTTTGAGACCAGGAATCAATGTCAGGTTCCAGGCAATACTGCTAGTTAAGCTCTCAGTGGCACCTGTGGCCCGGTATTCTCAGCCTATAACATCCATAAGAGTCCTGTCTGGCCAGCCTGGGTCCTACTCCCTGCCTCCACCAAGGGCCTGACACCCAGGGGAGGAAGGGTATTTAACTGCAGGAGTTGGCTGTGGTCCTGGCTCTCCACACTCCCCATGGACTCTGTCTGCAGTGCTGATTCCTGGGAAAGGCCTGGCTGCCATCCTGCGGACACTTTACCTGTTCCACGATGAAGAGTATGCCCGGGCCCATGGCCTGCCTGAGGACTTGCTGGTGCTACCGTGAGTGACTGTTCCTCTGGGCCCTGGGGCAGGGATGATGTGTACCTGTCCCAGGGGTGAGGGAGGGGACAGGTCCTGCTAGGGTCTGAGGAGGGGGAGTGGCCTCTGGAGTTTGGGACAGGGTCTCCCTCAATCCCCAGCTGGAACTCACTATGTAGACCGGAGCTGGCCTTGAACGCACAGAGATCCACCCGCCTTTGCCTCCCAGGCTCTGGGATTAAAGGCTTGCGCCACCATGCCTGGCTGGTGTCATGGGACTTCAGTGTGAGCCATTTGCATGAGGTGTCTCTGTTACCTCTCATGTTCTTGGGTTTAAAACTGACCTTCAGCCTCCTTCCACTGGAGCTGAGCCTGTGCACTGTGCCTGGGGCTCAGCTCCAACACCTGCCTTCCTTCCAAGGCCCCTGAGCCCACAGGAGCTGAGGTAAAGGCAGACTCAGCAAGCACGATCAAGCCTATCAACAGAGGCTGGGCTGACCCAGGTGGCCTCTCCCTCCCCAGCATGACTGTCTTGTTTTTCCACACAACTGCCTGCTGTCCTTCATGGCTGGAAGGCTGAGCTGAAGTAGACTCCTGCTCCTTGTGAGCTGGTCCTATCCCCTCTCTGTGCTGGTGTGGGGAGCCACTGCTCAAGGCCAGCCTGGGTGCTCTTGGAGATGCAGTCACTACCCCTGGGGACTCAGGTGGGAGGGAGGCTGGGTCTGTACTCAGCAAGTGAGGCTGGCCCAAGAGGTGAAGCCCATTAACTCTTGTCCCATGGCCCCTCCCAGAACTGCCCCCACCCCAGGACCCTCAAGCCCCATCTGCACCCCAGCTCCATCCACACCCTGCTCCTCACTGGACTTCATAGCCCCCTCCCACACCCTAGCTGGAGAGGGCAGTGGAGGCTTTGGGTCCTGAGAGGCAGAATGGGAGACAACTTCTGCCCCCACAGCCCAGCCAGCCCTGACCAGAGGATCATCTACAAGGTGCTAGAGTGCCAGCCCCTCTTCGACTCCAGTGACATGACCATCACTGAGTGGGTTCAGATTGCCCAAATCATAGAGGTAGAGGGTGGGAGTGGGGTGGAACTGTGAAATACCGGGGAGGGCTGAGTGTGTGGGTAGGACTGAGGCAGGGCTCTGGGCCATGGGTTAGACTGTGGGACATGGGTGGGGCCGGGTAGGACTTGAAGTTGGGACTATGGGGTGTGGGTAGAGGGTGAGTCCCAAGAGGGGCTGAGGTGGAGAGGCGGCTGGGGCTGGAGTGTGACAGAGACTGGGGTATGGAGGGGCTCAAGTGTGATGGGCTGGAGGGCAGGCCAGGCCCTCTGCAGAAGCACTGGGCAGCTGAATAATTAGGGCTTGTGGCAGAGTCCTTCTGCCCAACCTGAGACCTGGTAGAACTCAGCATGGAAGCCTCAGGAAAGGGCTGGGTCCTGGACCACACACTGTTCAAGGCTCTGAGACCCTTTCCACTATGCAAGTGGAGGCTGGGCCCAGCTTGTTTTGCTCGTACAGTTGACCTATTCCAGTTAGTATTGTGGTGGGATGTGTGGGGACTGACTAGCTCTGTGAGCCTGGCCCATCCCTTGGACCCCCAACCCCAGAGTTGCCTCTTAGTGGATTTGGGACCAAAGCCTCCAGCTAAGGGCCAGTATTTGCAGCATTGAGGTGGCTGCCTTACCTTGGAGCTAGCTCTCCCCCCACCCTCCCACCCCCATCAGCTTTCCTCTCTATTCTTCCCTACCATCCCAGGTCTGGTTTCTAGGCACAGGCACAGGCATAGGTCCCACCCCTCCAGTCCCTAACTTGCCTCCCCTAAGAAGCCCCTGTTCCCCTGAGTGGGATTACTTGGAGTCCCCATTCCCTGATTAGGCCAAGTCACATACTTGTCTACTGACTGCAGGGCAATAGCCCTCCTCAACAGCGAGCTGCCTGGACTGTTCCATTTCAGGATCAGGGCCACTAGTGGGCACTCCTGGCTAGATTGTGGTGGCCCAAGACAGCCTGTCTCACTTGTGGCTTGCCGGGCCTCCTGGTCAGACCTGCTTTGCTGAGGTCCAGATGGTTCCTACAGCAGGTGGGCCACAACACGGCCTTATGAAGGCCTCTGGGCGCTGGTCCAGCTGCTCCGTGACCTTTATAGCTGGAAGGCTGAGCAACTAATCTTGTGTGGCCAGCAGAGGGCGCACTGACCCATGAGACAGCTTAGTTCCTAGGCTCATCTGCCTGGAGCCTCTTGGCTCTCAGCTGTGATCCTGGTAGCCACAACCTGGGCCAGCTGCCCACTAGGAGGTGGTGGCCAGAGAGTGTCCTGCATGAGTACTTCACTCTTGCCCAGTGGTGCAGTCCTGCCGGGCTCTGCCAGGGAGGCACTGGCTGGAAGTCTACGGGTTTGTTCCTAGTAGTGTCCAGAATCCTTGGGACCCACAATCCCTCATTCTCTGAGGCAAGCTACAGGGTAGGTGGCCTGAGACTCCTGGCCTTCCAGAGAGGGCCTCTGGGCCTGCAGGGGGCAACCACATGGTGCTACCCCAAGCCCCAAGCCTGCATCCAGGCCCTTTCCTCTTATCTATGGCCTGTGAGGGGACAGGCTGTTACCGCTGCCTGCAGCCATGTTCCCAGGAGAAGGCTTGTGTTTTAGAGGCCGACCTGCCCTGAGCTCACGCTCTCCAACAGAAGCACTATGCACAGTACCAGGGCTTTGTGGTCATCCACGGCACGGACACCATGGCCTTTGCTGCCTCAGTGCTCTCCTTCATGCTGGAAAACCTGCAGAAACCCATCATCCTCACTGGTGCACAGGTAACATGGCCCAAGGTCTTCACAGTCAGAGAACTCCCCCAGGCTTCTTGCTTGGAGCAGCTGTCCCGGGCACCAGGGCTGTGTACGGCCAGTTAGGGCATGCGGGCACTCTAGGAGGTAGCCGTTCTACCCCTGTTGGACTGCCCTGACCAGCTCCTTCCAGTCTCTGGGCTGGGGATCCATAGGCCCCTGGGGGTCTTGTCCAGCCACGAGGCCTCAGAAGTCCTGAGAGCCCAGCCCCTGACAGCTCTGCCACACGAGGCTTTCCTTCGCTTTCTTTGCTCTTCTCTCTAAGGGGCTCCATGTCCGCTGTGCACTGCCACCACCTGAGACTCAGCAATGGTGACGGCACATGCAGCAGGGGAGACATCCCTCATACCCTCTTGCTCCCCTTTCTTCTGATGTTGCCCCCAGCAGCCCGAGCACATGACATTCCCCCTTCTCTAACCTGGCACACTTTCCACCAAACCAAGGTCAAGAGAATGCTGCAAAGAATGCCTGTATTTGAGTAGAGGCTGACTTGGGGCTCTTATTGCTTATGGGTGGTCTTTAGGGCTGATCCTACCTAAGCCCCTCAGGATCCTTCCCTGTGGGGCAGAGGCCAAAGCCTGTACACCTGGGAGCTCTAGAGACCCTCTTCTGAGAGTGTCGGGGGCCGTCGGGAGTGGTAGCTTAGCCCAAGAAGAAACTGAGGCTGGGAGGCCACAGGCTCTCCCACACCCACGCACCAAGGAAGGAGCCTCCCTCCAGAGACCCTGCACTGACCACTCCATGCTGACCACTGCCCAGTCAGACCCCTCTGAAGACCTTGGCCTCCACATATGTCACAGAAGTCCTGTCCAGCTGCATCCTCCTGGGCGGGAGTTGGGGAGGCTGGCCACTGCTCAGCCACTCCGGGCACTATCCGTGAATACTCAGGCAGTGGGGGGACAAGCCAGACTATTCTGCATGCCACAGGAAGGCCTTCCCACTTCAGCGTGACCCTGGAGGGAGCGGGACTAAGCAAACATGTGGGTTGAGGGGCAAAGGTGGGCCTGGTACCTACTGGGCACTTAACCTTTGTGGTAATCGAGTGGGGAAGCCAAGGCCCCGGTGCAGGCTGATATTGTTGGAAGGAGTGTCAGTGGTGGGCAGCACTGAATCAAGCCCCCTCTCTTCTCTCCCTGTAGACCCCACTCCCTAGCTCAAGCCCACCTCAGCCCCCCTCTCTCTCTCTGGCTGGGCCTCAGGGGTTTGCCTGGAATGGGGTGCTGGGTATGTCCTGGCTTTCTGAGCCTCAGCTGCCTCCCTGATCTCTTCCCAGGTGCCCATCCATGCACTGTGGAATGACGGCCGTGAGAACTTGCTGGGGGCCCTGCTCATGGCCGGCCAGTACATCATCCCTGAGGTACCTAGCATGGTCATGTGGGGGGCCTGGGTGGAGGGTAGGGATGGTGGGTACTGGAGCCTGTTGCATCTAGGAGCTCAGAGGAGGGCTTGTGGGTATGGCACTCAGTAGGACCAGCAGACAAGGGGTTGGGGCAGTCTTTAAAAGACTTGTCCCTAGCCAGGTGTGGTGACGCACGCCTTTAATCCCAGCACTCGGGAGGCAGAGGCAGGCGGATCTCTGTGAGTTCAAGGCCAGCCTGGTCTACATAGTGAGTTCCAGGCCAGCTGGGGCTACTGGGAGACCCTGTCTCAAAAAATACCAAAAACAAAACAAAACAAAAAACTTGTCCCTTACAAGTAACACACAACTGTGAAAAACTTGGAGCTGATAAAACCAAGGAGGAAACGCTCCTCATCCCCAGATGTCCCCGCCAGCAGTCAGGTTTTATATTGTGCATATAATATCGCTTGTAGATACATGTGTATATATCTGTGAAAATAGGCTGCACCAACCTTAGACTTGTAGTCTGTTCTGTTCGTCCACACAAGGCTCTCTGGCCCACCGGACCGCACAGGAACCCGGGACAGACTTGCCCCTCACAGGCCGGGTTGAGAGCTACCTTGTCTTTAGGGGATCCTTTGAAGTAGGTGGGGTTAGGGTTAGGGCTTTACTAAAGGGCAGTGAGCAGGTCCCCACCTTATTCACCTTGGAGGGAGGTCTCTGGAGTCACCAGCTCCTTGTACGCTGGGGCTGAATTCACCAGAAGTGGGCAATGGAATGGGGGTTGCTGAACAGCACAGGTTCTCCTGCAGCTGGCCACCTGAGCACCCAGCGCCCAGACTCCCCAGGCCCCAGAGGCTTGGGGTCTGCCGTGGGTAGGCATTGGCAGGAGGGCATGTGAGGGTGGTTGTAGCTGCCAGCTGTGGAGATCTGGGAGGAACCCTGCCTGCTGGTTACCTGCAGGCAGTAGGTGGGGGTTTCCAGCTTTGAGGGTCTGGTGTGTTGATGATGGTGGGAGGGGGTGCTGGAAGGCGTCATGGGGCCAGCTCTGAGCTGCCGTCCTGCCCTCCCCAGGTCTGTTTGTTTTTCCAAAATCAGCTTTTTCGAGGCAACCGAACCACCAAGGTGGATGCTCGAAGGTTTGCAGCCTTCTGTTCCCCCAACTTGCCCCCTCTGGCCACTGTGGGTGCAGATGTCACAAGTAAGTACTCTGAGTGCTTCAGGTGTGGCGGTGGGCCCTGGGGTCTTACATGGAAGTGGGAGCCCTCAGCAGGTGGCAGACAGGCTCAGAGCTGGGGGTCTGGCTAAGAGGCCTGGGGGATCTGCTCCACCATGTGGCCCCAAGCTGAGGAATTCTCTGTGACAGTCTGTGTCTCTGCCGTACACAATGGTCCTTCTTTGAACCTGGTGTATGTGCGTGCGTGTGTGTGTGTGTGTGTGTGTACGTACTATAACAGAATTTTTAGGAGCCCCAGAGGATCTCTCTGTCCTCTGGACCCACAGGAAGCCCAGCTTTCCTCATGGGCCCTACTAACGTCTCCAGCTGATCCTGGTCCCATGGCTTCCGTGAGGGCTCAGCCATGATTCCTTCCCGGAGGTGCAGAGTGGCTCATAAGGCCAGTGCCCTAATCAGGATTTGGCCGTAATGGCTCTCATCTTCCCATCTTAGATGTACAACTTGCCTCCATTTCCCTGAACTTAGGGCAGCTGTCTCCTTCCCTGGCCTACCCCATCCAGGATGTTCCCACTGCCCATGTGATTCTTGGGCACAGCCCCAGACCTGCCCAGTAGATGAGGCATGGACCCAGGTTCTGGGTCCCCACCTCACTGTCTTGGTGTCCTCTCCCCAGACCTGTCCCAAGGGAGGCTCTGGCAGAGCTGGGCTTTCTTTCAGGGACATTTGGGGTTCTTGACACCTGCCAGGGACATGATGGGGCAGGACAGCTAGTCTAGAACCAAAGCAGCTCTTCTTGTCTGGCAGCGTGATTGCCGCGTCCTAGGCCTCCGGGAGGGTGGAGGTGGCCCTCACCCACACTGTGCTTCCGCCTGGGCCCAGCAGGTCCTGTGAATAGGGCATGGTGTTGCTGAGGCCTGTGAGGGGCTGTCCTTGGGATTCTCCTGTGCCCCTGGGGCTGCTCCACCCCCAGGTTCAGGAGGAGCAGCACACTACTTACTAAGAGGCCCCTCAGAGCCCAGGCCAGATTCCAGGGGCTCTGCTCATCCTGGAATCCCACGTACATCTCTTCCGACGCTCACCCCAGCATCTTCCAGACAGTGAAAAACCTTCCGCCTATCAGTGTATCTACCATTGCTGCACACCAGCAGCTCCAGGATAGCAGGGGTCCACTTGTTCCTGGGGGGGGGGTGGAAGTTGAAGGCTTTTTGGAAGGGTCCATATTAGCTGGTGTTGGTGTTGGTCTGGCTGCTGACCCATGCTGGGTGATGGTACTGGTGGCCAGGAATGGGAGAGCAGAGAGTGTGGGCACTGCCCCGTAGCTCAGTTCAATGGGCTTGAGTTGCTCCTTATCCAGACTCAGGCCTGGAACTTCTGTGAGCAGAGAGGGCTTCATCCTGAACCCAGGGGCCTCTGCCATAATGGGACACATGGGCTTCAAGCTTGCCCAGTAGCAGCTTTCCTGGTCCAGAGCTGAGTACAGCCCTTGGCCCAGCCCGTGCCCTGACCCACCATCCCACATGTGAGAGTGTGTGGGAACCTGTGCTCCGCCTGCTCTCTGATGTCAGGCTGCCCAGCCGGTTCTGACACCTCATGCTGAGAAAGCCTGGGTTCTGCCCAGGGTGTGGCTGTGGGGCTCTGGGGGAGAGATGGTGGAGCCCTGCATAGCACGTCCCTATCTCCTGCCAGCCATCCGCAGGACAGCACCCTGATCATCCTGTGATGTGGGCCGGTGGCAGGCTGTCGCTAACCCTTCATCGACCCTCTAGGTGTTGAGGGGAGCAAGGGGACCATCCCTGGTGACAGACAGGGCACAGCAGCACAACTGCCCAGTCTGCTCTCTGCTGAGGCGGGGGCACGGTGGGCTTGGGCAGCCGGGTCTCGCTGGCCCTGTGCATTTGGCAGCAGTGTTTGTTCTTTCCTGGCTCATTCCTTCAGTTGTGTCCATGCACAGCATCCCTCCCAGACCACCAGAGCAGAGGAGCTGAGAGAGGGGACGTTGATAGGAGAGTTGTCTGCTGGCTTGGGGCCATATGCTATGCTTCCAACATATAGATTCAGTGCCTTCCTTGGTACATGGGAGTCACCTGCCTCCCAGGATGCCAGAGCCATTTCAGGTCCTAAGGCTGAGGTCAGACTTAAGCCTCCTGCTCAAGTCCCTCAGCCTAGAACAGGGCACTGGCTGTTAGGGTGCTGAGATGGCAGCCTGGCCTAATCACCACTGGTTTCCTCTCTGTCCCCAGTCCCTGGACTTGAGGATTCTAAGGAGAAAGACTTCCTGGCTTGTTGTGAGGTGGCTGACCATAGGGTGGTCCTTTGTTTCTGTGCATCCCTTCTCTGTAGCCATAACTCCTCCAGTGGCAGCAACCCCCCTCCCTAGGCCTTATCTATCTGCCCAGCCAAGATGCTCATCCCTAAATTAAAGGACATCTTGCACTGCCATTGTGTTAGCTGATGGATGCTGTGGCTGGGGTGGGAGATTCACTGCTTGAGGACCCCGCTCCATCGCCTGACCCCCATCCAACTCCCTTAGTATGTGTCCAGAATATTGTCTAGCTGATTATCGCATGGGCACTGCTCTAGCAGACAGAGCAGGCAGGCCACGTGGGTCTCCCCAGCCCCTATGGGATCAGGAGAACTGCATGGTAGGCAGAGGAACCTTGGAGGAGGGCCCTGGATCTGTGGTCCTGTCCTGGCTCCATGCCTGGTTTCTGTGCATAGCACGTCAGGCACCACCCTTCCCCTCTCTGGGCCTGGGTTTTCCTGGGCTGGACTAGAGGGCCTCTTTGGTGTCATTTAATAGTCACCAACACCTGTTTTATTAGGCCCAGGGCTCACAAAGTTCAAGGGCTAGTTTGCCAGCCAGCCCTTACCCACCTATGGTTGGTGGTCTGGGTATTGGTAGTACAATACCCTTTGGTCACAAGAGGAACAGCATGAAGGGGTGGGTTCAAGGGGTCCTGACCTCCAATTCCTGCCCCTCTCCACCTTTCCCGTGTCTGGGATTGTGCTACCACCCAGCCTGCGTGTGGGAGGGGTAGTGGACACTGGTAGGCCTTCAGAGTGTGTGTGTGGGGTAAATTGGATGGAGGCCTTTTTTCCTTATAGGCAAGAGTTGAAATTAACTCACTTACTTGATAGAAGTGGTCACAGTAGACACTACCCAGCAAGGGCTGGATAAGCTGGGCTGTCTGATCAGAGGACACTCCCTGGACGTCCCCTTGGATCAGCAGACTGCTGTTCTAGCCTTCCACTCCCTCTGCCTAGAATTCTGCCCCTCCCTCACATGCTCCTTGGCGGCTTGGCCAGAATGGCGCCTGCGGGTCCTCCTTGTCCTTGGCTGTGACTCCCAGTCCCCAACCCAACGTTACCCTGGTCACCTGCTTGTCCACGGGTCTTTCTCCCAACATCTCCCCCGGATCATGGGCTTGCTGTGGAGCTTGGCACGGACCTGAGGAAGCTCAGGCTGGGAGGACTTGATTCCTGAAGGGAGGCAGGGCAGGGGCTGGGGTCTCAGCTGGCCATGGCTTAGGGCTCACACACTCACCCTCTGTCCTCAGTTAACCAGGAGCTAGTGCGGAAGGTCAGCGGGAAGGACCAGCTGGTGGTGCACAGCAACATGGAGTGCAACGTGGGCCTGTTGCGCCTCTACCCGGGGATTTCTGCCTCCCTGGTAGGGACGGCCTTCTTCGAGCCTGCTGCCGTCCAGCGCCCCCAGGCCGCCCCTGCTCCGGGAGCCCCAGTGCTGCACGCTTACCTTTTCTCCAGGACTGCTCTGCTGAGCTGGTCCTTGTCTGGGTTAACGTGTGGCCTCCATGAAGGGGTGTAAGGCTGAGCAGCCCCTCTGCCACCTAAGCTGAGGCTTTGGAGACCATTTGGGGTGTGGGCTTGTTTGTGTGGACACTGGAGGATGCTCAAAGGAGCCTAGTGACACCCTCAGCGTGTCACTCTAAGGCCAATGCAAGTGGCCCTGGGACTGCTTTCTCCCTTTCCTTTTTAGACAGGTCTTGCTGCATAGCTCAGGCTGGCTCGGTACTTTACTCCTCCTGCCTCACCCACTGCTGAGACTGCTTTTTCTTGTCATTGCCTTTTGACCCTCTTTTGCTTCCTGTCATTGGCCTCTCAACCCCTGGCTGTCTCTGGAGTGACCATGGCACCTCCCTGATCTATTGTCTGAGATGCTGATAAGGACCCAAGGCTGTCCTCTGTCTTCTAAGTGGAGCTGTCCAGCTTGAGGGTGTGGCCGGGGCTGGGTCCCAAGGCCCCTGAGTATTTGTTAGCACACTATCCTGTCCCCCGTGCTGCTTCCGGGCATGCTTTGCTGAGCTCCAGGCAGGTCAGGCGCTTGGGCCTCTGAAGGCCTTCTCTGCTGCCTGCACCTTCCCCGAGGTGTTCCACACGGTGTCAGTCCGGCCTTTCTGGGGCCTCTGAGGAGGAACGGGGGTATGTTGGGGCTCAGTCTCTCTTAGCTTTCCCCACAGTCAGTGGTTGTACTTGGCATCAAAGCCTGACCACCATGGGAGGAAAACCTAGGACAAGCTGTGCTGCTGTTGCCTGCGGAAGCTCCCTCAACCTGTACCCCACCTGCACAGGTCCGTGCCTTCCTGCAGCCCCCACTGAAGGGTGTGGTCATGGAGACCTTCGGCTCCGGCAACGGGCCCACCAAGCCAGACCTGCTGCAGGAACTGCGGGCGGCGGCTGAGCAAGGCCTGGTCATTGTCAATTGTACCCACTGCCTTCAGGGGACAGTGACCTCAGACTACGCATCTGGCATGGTAGGGGTGGAAAATGGACCTTGGGGAAAAGAGGTTTGATAGGCTTATATCTGGGCTCTGCTTCCCCACAGCTGGGGGAAGTTCCTTGGGTCAGAGCCGGGATACTTGAGGGGCGGTACACCAACCTCCCTTTCTGGCTCCTCCTCCAGGGTATGGCAGGTGCTGGCATTGTCTCAGGCTTTGACATGACGTCAGAAGCTGCCCTGGCCAAGCTGTCCTATGTGCTAGGCCAGCCAGGGCTGAGCCTAGGTGACCGTAAGGAGGTACGTTGCATCCATGGGGTTGTTGCAGGGACTCAGAGCACATACAGGTCTGCTGGCTCCTGGGAAAGTTAGCAGGGGTGCTTGTGTGTATGGTTTGAAAGGGGCGGGGAGGAGGGGCTCCTTGTGGGAAACAAGACCAGCTCTGATCAAGCTCATCCAGGCCTTTCCGTTACTAGTCTCTGGGGAGCCTTGGGTTCTGCGTACCAGTTCTGCACCCCTCTCTCACTGTTCCCAATATCCTGTCCTGCTCCTCCTTCCCAGGTGGGACATAGCATGTCCCCATGGGCTGCTGGCCCCTAGTAAGGTCTTGGAAGACTCTGAGCTTCTTGGATGGGAGGCAAGACTGGCCTTGTGTAGGGACTGCTGAGGTCACACCCAACCCATGCATGGTTGGAGCATGAGGGGAGAGTGTCAGCTGGGGCAGGCCCTTCTCCCTGCCCTGGGGATCCAGACCCTCCCAGCTTGTCTAGATGCCCTGGTTCAGTGCTGGCTGAGCTCACCAGCCTCCATGTGCTCCTGTTCTAGCTGCTGGCCAAGGACCTTCGTGGGGAGATGACGGTACCCAGAGCAGAGGAGGACCGGTCCTCACTGCAGGGCAGCAGGGTAGCATGGCTCCTCAGTCTAAACAGCAGCCAGGTACTGCTTGGGGTGTATGGGCGTGGCAGGGCCTGCACACCCTCATGCCAGGACCCACCATCCACTGGAGGAGGGATAGGAGAAGGATGTGTGGTGGGTGGTGAGGCTTTGCAGGGATCACATGGCAGTTGGGGAAGGGGAAGATGGGGCAACCAGTGGGCCTCCTGTGGTCAGGGCACGTCAGTGCTGGCCTGGATCTCAGAACCGGGGTATACCAGAGCAAGGCGGGATGTTGTCTATCCTGATTGCTAGAGTCAGGGCTGCTTGGAGGCTCTCCCAGACTCCGAGCTGGGGGTTGCCAGCCCCACACTTGCTCTAATGTGCTCTAATCTCCCAGGTGCTGTAGATTAGGCCTGCCACTGACCCCAGAGGGAAATTTGATTTCCCTCTGCCTTCAAGACCTGAGTGTCAGATTCAGGAAGGGGAGGGGAAGGACTCAGGACCACCTGTCTCAGGAACCCAGCAGTGCTCAAGTGCTTCCTGGTCAGGGCCTTTAGGCTCTGTGTAGAGCTGCCTTATGATTCAGGTGGTTAACTACTCCATGCTGAGTGTGGGCGGTGGCCAGATGAAAGGGACTGGGTATGTGGCCTGTCATTAGGGTGGCTGCGTGGAGTTCCTAATCCCTTTAGGGGCCCAGCAGGTCAGCAGCTGATCACAAGGATGTCATTAAGCCAACCATGGATGCCAGACAAGGTGATACCTTGAGGGCCTTGGAGAGCCCCTGGACAACTGGGTACTGGGGCAGGTGGCCCTTATAGGAATGTTAGATCTGTGTAGTCAGGCCCTTCTGGGGAAGTGGGGAGACCTTCACTCCTTCCCATATCCCCTCAAGGGATGACTTAGGACTCTAACCCTGTCATTAGTGGAGGCAGGAAAAGGAATGGACCTTGGGGGTCAGTGGCAGGCCTAATACACAGCTGGAATGGAGGGAACCAGGAGGTAACCTGGTCTTTGTTTTGCGGGCATGGGGCCAGGTGGGCCTGTGGGTGGGCAGGGAGGCTCACCCTCCCTGTGGGGTGGTTCTGGTGTTCCTCCTGTGTGGGGAGGTGGGGTTCACATAGTTTGGGGACTACTGGCTCTGTCCATCCTTACCCTGGGGATGCTAAAGACCCCATGGCAGGGGCCCAGGTTGCTATCACTGTTCCCCCAGGAGGCTAATGACATGCAGGACATCCTGATGCCTAGTCTGGTCCTGGCTGCAGCCCATGCTGGTGACCTGAACACTCTGCAGGCCCTCGAAGAGCTGGTGAGCCTGCGCCACTGGGGACAAGCTAGGAGGCAGGACACTGCTCTCAGGACAGAAGGCTCTCCCCAGGGCCTTATTGACCATGCTGAAGCATGCGGGGCGGTGGGTCTGCATTCTAGCCCAAAGGCCTTGCTGGAGGTGGGTGTAGTTGGCTGTGTAGACCCCACCCCATCCTCCCCACCCCCTCTGCATGACCTGCCTGGCCCTGCCCAGCCCCTCTCTGGGTTGTGTGTTCTTGTGTCATCCTAGGGCAGAGATCTACGCTTAGAGGACTGTAGTGGTCAAACCCCACTGCATGTGGCTGCACGGAGGGGCCATGCTGCAGTGGTCACCATGCTGCTGCAGAAGGGTGTGGATGTGAATGCCCAGAATGAGGATGGCCACAGTCCACTGTTGCTGGCTGTGAGGGGCAGGTACCAGGGCCCTGGGAGTTGCAGTGGTGTGTGGGCAGAGGGAGTGGAGAGAGGGTACATATTTGGTGTGAGCAGAGATCAGGTGTAACATGAACAGGGCCAGCCAGGGAGGCCTGGTTCTGTGGGGCAATCCTGAAGGGCTCCATGGGGGAGGTGACCTCTGAAGATGCTGGAAAGGAGAATGTCACTGACAAGGCACAAGGGGCCCCGATGTCCTCCAGTCAGCCATGTGTGCCGAGATGCAGCAAGGAAAGAGCTAGTAGATGGGTTATGACAGGCACGGGGGGTTGGCCTGGTCCTCACCCCACGAAGAAGGTTGGGGTGTATGATTGGTAGGGCTGCGTCCACTTCCTCTCATCCTCTCCAATTCTGCTTGCTGGTTTCAGGCAGGCCAGGCCCTGCCCTGGAAATGGCCAGAGTGGGTGTGCAGGCATTACCTAACAGCCTATGAGGGAAAGGAGACAGGACCCTGGGGGTGCCCTCAGGCCTGCCAGCTTCTTCCTGGATCATGTAGGAGGGCTCAAGCCACACTGGTGGCCCTGCTGGTGTCCATCCCAGAGCAGCATCAGGTGCAGAGGGCATGTGTGTGTGGAGTCTGGTACTTCCTCCTCAGCCTGGTGGAGCATGACGGGGCAGACCTGTCTGGCAGGGTCGTCCCCACAGCCCAAGTTCCCCAGATCAGCTTTTCCCGGGTTTCTGCCAGAAACAACCCTGCAGACCCAGGGTCTTGAGGGGGGTGGGGGGGATAGATGTTTGTGAGTTGCACAAGGGAGACCATGTCTGAGCTCAGGGTCACCAGATGCTAGTTGTCCAGTCCTGGCCCCTCCCTAGCTAGAACCTAGGGTCGGGGTTCTGAGGCTAAACCTTCCTTCCAGAGCAAGCCTGGTGGGTGGATGGCACCAAACCTGGACTGGAAGACCACTGCATGGCCATAACATGGGTGGGTGGAGACCCCAGGCTGCCTCCCTAGCCCTGTGCACAAATGGCCCAGGGCCCACGGGGAGCTCTGCAGACTGGGACCCTCCAAGTCCACCACTCACATTGCCCCAGTGCCCCCTAAAGGTGGAGCACCCATGTAATGTAGTGTGCCCCTGACACGTGGCACAATGGGGTACAGTTGGGTGATTGTGGTGCGAGAGTCAGGGTGATCCCCTTTGGACTTGGCCAGGCAGCTTCGGGTCTAGTTCCCAGCAGGCATCTCCCTCTCTAGGCTTGACTTGTTGAAATTGCCTTAGGAAATGGCTTCTGAGAGCTGAGGAAGGTTGGCAGGGTTTGGATCACACTGATAGCACTTTTTCACGGCAGGCATCAGAGTGTCATTGGGCTGCTGCGGGCTGCTGGGGCTTCCCTGTCTCCCCAGGAGCTGGAGGATGTCGGGACAGAACTGTGCAGGTGATGGCCGGAGCACCTATGTCTGTGGGGAGTGGGCTCAGGCTCCAGGGAGGCAGTAGGCTGCTGGGAGGGTCAGGCTAGCCAGGTGGGGCTGAGGAGGGAGAGCCCACACCCAGGTGGCATGGTTGACTGATAGGCAGAGGTGTCTGACCCAAACCCTGTTACAGGCAGGAGCACTTGACAGAACAGTCCAGCAAGGGTGTGCACATGGGCTCGGGGGGCATTGGGAGTTCGGGTCAGGAAAGGGAAAGGCAGAGGGGGGAACCGACCTGGGCTGTGGCAGTTAGTGGGAGCTGGGGTGGAGTGTTATCGCTCCTATGTTCATCCTGCTCAGGCCATGGCTGTGGGACTTTAGGCTGATTTGTTAGGACATTTCCAGTTTACTGGTCCCAGTCTCAGACCTCTGCACCGGTCTGCAGTATCTCAAGAGACAAGTACTGCTTGCTAAATCCCTCCCTGACCCTTGTCAGTGATTGAGGGATGAGGGGTGGTTCACAGAGGTGATGGGGCCAGGGTGGGAGGCCCCAAGAGAACTGCAGCTGGTCTTAGTTGGCTTTAAGGGGACTTCTGGGTGACTTGGTCCAAGACTGCACCCAAGCGGGCCTTGTTGACACCACTGACAGATGGGGAAACTGAGGGAGGAAGCAGATCCCAAACAGTTGAGGCTAGCTAGAGCCAGCCATTCTGCAGGACTCTGTTTTGTGGGGCTGGGCCAACCTGAGCTGGCTGGGCTGCTGTGGAAAGGCAGTTGTGGGTGGACTGGGAAGGCTAGAGGTGGATCCAACATGACTCATCCCAGAAATTATCCAGGACTGCTGGGGGGCCGTGGCCTCCTAAGCAGGCAGGAGTCACTGGGCCACTTGGGCCTTCTCTACTCCTAAATCATCCAGGGTGGAGATACTGGCCCCAGACTTGGAGAGACAGCGTGGGAGGGTGGGGATGCTAACCAGGGCTCGGCCCCCTCACCTCACCTTTCTCTCTAGGGCAAGTAACCCCACATACCCTTTCCAGCCAGGATGCCCCTGTGGCCTGCTAGAGTCCAGGGCCTTCTTGAACCCTATACCTCCTGGGTCTCCTCCAGCTGTCTGTGTTTCCTTCTGTCTTGAGACCGGCCAGACACCTCGCAAAGGCTGTGTTGTGAAATATGAAACTGTCAGGGGAATGCCTGGCAGGTGAAGGGTGTGTGCATGCTCATGGGTGTACACGTGTGCATGTATGTGTGTATGATGTGAGCACAGGCCCTTGACCTGAGTCACAGTCACACCCACTGGGTGAAACCAGACTCCAGGCAGCCTTCTGCTGAGACTCCTGCCCCAGGGCTAGGCGATGCTGGGTCAGCTGTTTGGGGCTGGCTTTGTAAGAGTGCCCAGAGCACTGGGAGGGGTACAGGCAGGAGGTGGGCAGGTGAGGGACCCAACAGGTTCTGACAGTTTCCCTCTACCCCCTCCATCCCCTCCAGGCTGGCATCCAGAGCGGACAGCGAAGGCTTGCAAGCGTGGTGGCAGGCAGGGGCTGACCTAGAACAGCTAGGCTATGATGGGCATTGTGCCTTGCAAGTAGTGAGTGCCTGCCTCCTGTGCCCTCACTCCTCAAGTTCCCTCCCAGGTCCCTAGCTCAGGAACAGGAGCAGCGCAGCTCCGCTGGGACATATTTCTCCCACCAGCAACTAATGGGGCTGGACCCTATTAGTCCTAAGGAGGATGGGGTGGGGGAAGCTAGCAAGAGGGGGCAGGGCATCCTGGTGGGTGACACTTGGGGCTTTCTGGGGGTTGCCTCAGCCGCAGCCAACTCCCACAGGTCTCTCTCCCCCTCAGGCTGAAGCAGCTGGGAATTCGGATGTGGTGGCCCTGCTGCAGAGCTTTCAGGGCAGGGTTGGTACCCAGCCCCAGGCCCCCTAAGTTGCAGGGCAGAGCTGGCATCCCCTCAGTGAGCTTCCATTGGTCTGTGGCTGGATCCTGGCACCTGGTGTCCCAGAGCGGGTTCTGGAGACAGCCTGATGAGGCTGAGACAGGCAGCCAAACTGTACAGAGCCTCTCTTGGGAGCTTCTGGGAGGAACACGCTGTCTGAGGAGATGGGGGCTACTGGAGGAGCTTGACAGTCTTGCTTTGGGCGCCTGGGAGGGCCCCGCAGCGTTCCACCTTGCCTGAGGAATTAGGCCTGTATCCAGATGGCATCCATCCCCATTTCATTATCTGGTAGTCCTGGAGTTTGGACACTGACTGGGTATAGACAGGGCACCCAGGGTTGGGTAGGGCTAGGGAAGCCCTGCCTCTTTACCTGGGCCTCCACGTGTCCTCAGCAGACCTCGTTTCCAGGAAGTGCTCCCTGGCCTCTCACCTGCCATCCTACTGTAGTGTGAGACCTTCCTTACTGCTGGAGGGACCTCACCCACACTGACCCCTTTTGCCAAGACAGTGTCCTCTCTGCTGGAACTCCCAGGCCTGTTTGCAAGACAAATTGGGAGGTCTTTGTTGAACAGAATGTCAATAAAGTTGTTGTGGGGGACAGCTGCCTCCCCAGGTCTCCAAAACTGGCTTAGATGTGTCTGTGAGCTGTGACTGTGTAGGGATGTGGAAAGTAGGCCTCATGCTCTGGGACAGAGCCATCTCTGCAGAAGATGAGCAGGACACTTGGGCAGTCTTCCAGAGACTGGCCAGGCATGGTGTGGTAGGGTGGCTAGAGAGCCTAGGCAAGCTGTCCTGCCCCACCCCCATCTCTTCAGGCCACGTCTAGTGGCAGCTTCTGTCCCACATCTCTGGAAGACTCATCTGGGGCTAAGTCACCTCCTCCAGGCAGCTGGGGACTGAAGGGGAGTGACAGAGGGCCTTGGCAGAGAGCCCCCAGCATTGGGCATTCCAGACTGCTACCCTCTGTGACCTGGGGGGGCAGGCATCCTGCTGGGCCAGTCTGAGTGGGCAGGCGGTACCCTGATATCGGTGGACAGCTGCAGGACTTGGTTACAGAAAGTGTGCATCCTAAGGATGGGGGATGGGGGGCAAAAGCATGACCCCAGGAGCTGGCCCTTGGCACTCGGGTGGGCCGGGGTGAGGCTCCCCCGCCTACAATCCAGGCTCCTCAGCCTGGTTCCCAGGCCCCAGCAGGCACTGTCCTGGCAGCCTCCCAATTCCTCACCCAGACAGGTGTGCCCAGGCCTTGCACAACCAGGTAATACCACCTGAGCACAGCAGGGCCAAGAAGCCTTTGCCCCACATCCCAGTGAAGCCATGATGAATGACCGAGGAGAGGCCACAAGGCATGAGTGCCAGGAAGACTGATGTCACTGGTGGGCTGTGACCTACAGGGACTAGGGCAGGGCAGTGGGACATTGAAACATATGCCTGGTGGAGGGTGAGCTCACCCTAATGTCCACACAAAGCAGGACCTCACTTTTCTCCCATGGGACTGGCAGAGCCATTGCTTGGGGTACACCATACTCAGTAGATTGTACAGGCCCAGGTGGCTCCCCACTCCCAATTCTACTGAGCTGCTGGCTGGGGAGGCCTGGCTGAGGCTTTCCCCTATGTGGGTCATACAGGCTCTGCATAAGGGGTCAGGGGGCTTCAGCAACTGGGCAAGCAAAAGAGACTCCTATCAGAACTGGCTGCTGGGCCTGGTGCTCAGGCCTCTCCTGTCAACTCACAGCAGACAGCTGCTGGACAAGCTTCTGGAAGGTTGTGGACAGTCAGAGGCACTGTCTAGAATCCTTGGAGGAGGGGTGTTCCCTGGGGAGAAGGTAGACACCAGGAGAGTCAGTTCCTCTGAGGGCATCTAGTCCATCACTGTACATGAGCCACATGACACTTTGGGGCATGCACATTCCACCACACTGGCCTGTTTGTACCCACCGAGCCCCTAAGGAGGGTACCGGGTCATCTTTCCATTTTCCATATGAGTAAACTAAGGCACAGAGTTGTGTAGGAGCCTGGGGTCCCCAAACTGGCACCTGCAGAGCTGGGGAGTCTGGCTGCCCCAGGCCCAGCCTTGTGTGGACAGGGCGTGGGGCCCTAGGGCCCTGCTCAAGTGTGGGAGATGGCTTGCGCCCCGCCCTGCAGAGGGCGTTGCTGTTGCTCACACAGGTAATTTCCCTCTGAGGAGACCTCAAACCCTCCCAAAGTCAAGGTTATCTCTGGGGAAAAATCTCCCTTTCCTCACACCTTCTGTTTTCCAACAGTTTCTATTCTAGAATCAGACTCCAGGCCACCCCTCCAGGCCACCCCCACCCATGACTTATACAAGTAAACAGACTTCTTGAGAATGCAAAGAAGTTCTCTTCCTGCTGCTAGAGAATCACAGGGACCTGAATTGTCACTTGTCTTCTCAGAGTCCCCTCTGAAGCAGAAACTGCCCACCTTTGCCCAGGGAAGGGAGTCCACTCAAGCTGGTTGTACAAGGCAGTTCTGCCCCGCGGTTCCAGTCCCAGGATTTAGCACCGGGAACAGGAGAGGTGGCTGTCCAGTCCTGGTAGTGTGTTTATGTATGGGGGGGGGGTGGCTGTCTAGGGGACCTCTTCTTGGTCATCTTCCTTTGGACTCCTATGACAGGTCCTCTGACTTCACATTCAATCAGATCTACAGAGTCACTGTCAAGAGCTGTGGACTAGAGAAGTCACTGCTCCTCTCTCAGCCTGTTTCCCCATTTGCAAAATGGAAACACAAAAAAACCCCGTCACTATTCACCCTACCTGCTGGTTGTGATAGTTAAACTCGGTACATCAGTGAAAAAGTCTAGGGACTCCTTCACAACTCAGTGGCTGCCTCTTGCCTGGGTCCAGTCTGTGTCCCCTGGGCTGATTGGCCTGGACACGAATCAAATATGGCAACCCCCTGTCGTGCCCTCCCCCCGGGGGGAGTGTCAAGGCTTCTCCCAAACGTTCTCAATTTCCTGAAACAGACCTGTCCTCCCAGTGGGCTGCAGAGGAGTGGAGCAGGTGCCCTCGGGGCTGGGGACATGTACAAGTTCCAGCGCTTGTTGTAGGCAAGGGACAGTGGGAGTCCGGGACGCGCAGGACTAGGCTCGCTCCATCCGCTCCACCTGCCGGGGGAGGCCAGGGTCTGGGAAGCAGAAACTCGCTGCCCCCCTCCCCCCAGTTTCACTTTCTCTTTGTTCCCTCCTCCCCCTCCCACGAAGTTCGCTTTGAAGCCAGTCCGCCGCGGGGCGTGCCCAGGTCGCAAGGGCTCCGCCCCCGCGATCCCCGGCGGGTTCCAGAGCGCATCCAGCAGGCGCGGCCCCTGGCGAGCTGTGCACCGCCCCCCCCCGAGCTGTGCACCCCCGAGCGTGGACGCCGGCGCCGCGTCCCCCGCGCAGACCCCGGCCGGGTGCGCCGGGATGGGCGCCGGGCGCGGCCGGTGAGTCAGGGCCACCC